CCGACGTCACACCAGACCGCATCTCACGATCTCCAAATAATAACGTGTACTTTTTGTTGATATTATCCTCATTTTTTTCTCTTATATTGGCCTAAAATCTAAACGTTGTTAACATAACCTGAAATAAACAAATTTCTGCTTTCCAAAGTTGGAATAACGTACAATTTGAAAAAAATTCCAATGAGTTATAAATTTTTAAGTGAAACACCTCGCAATGAATTAAAAAAGGCCCCCAATTAACCCTAATTCAGCCCAAAAAGTCTATTAAAAATATATATTTTAGTAAGAAACAATGTTGATAGTCTTTTTTGTGTACCCCAAATTACCCCTGAATACAGATTTTTGGAAAAACAAAAAAGGCGTTGATTTTGCCTTCGTAAATACATTAGAACCGGGGGAAAAAATTAAAACGTTAGAGTTTTTGTTGATTTTATTATTATTTTTTCCCCTGATAATAACAAAATCTAGCCAGAAATATTCTGATTTCAACGGTTGTAATGTTCAATTTGAATAAAATCCTCTCGGTGGATCAAGTCAAAATATTTCTATATTTTTATTGTGAGGAAAATTTGTATTTAAGGGCTTTAAACGGTGCTTAAAACGAATCCAGAAGGTAGAAAACCATCTTTAGAAAAATACTTAAAAAATGCAGGTTATGAACTTGAATTTTTGCATTATTTTCTTGTCTTAAGCAAAAAAACAAATTGACTGATATATGATAATAACTCATTTACGTTTTTCGTAGTCAATTGACTAAGTTGCTTCTTTCAATCAATTAATTATTCTTTCTAAGGTCTTGGTTGAGATAAAAAAGTCGGTGTCACGGGCGGGATTCGAACCCACGACTTCGACTAAATACGCCGCTGCTCTAACTAGTTGAGCTACCGTGTCGATCCTCTCGGACACCAACTCTCCATCTCAACCTATAACCGTTCTTATTGGCCACTACATAAGTCGCTGAGAATCCAATTCGATTACACGACTTTGAAAATGGCAAAAAAAAGGGAATTGTAGGTCGAGACGGAGAGTTGGTGTCCGAGAGGATCAAAGTCACGATAGCTCGTGGTAGAGCAGCGGCGTATTTAGTCCAAGGTCATGGGTTCGAATCCCGCTCGTGACACTGACTTTTTTATCTCAACCAAGACCTTAGAAAGTATGATAATAACCTTGAATTACATGCCCAAGAAAACACATTGCTTACATTTAAAGAAGACTTAGATTTTTCTTTTCTTCTAAAAAATTATAGCAACTTTGAAACGACTCCTCCGATCCACAGAAAACTCGACTGAAGTTTCGAACCTTACGAGCTAAACGTAATAGCACAAACTTCGTCTTGGTAAATCAGTAATTAGCGGAAATATAAAGACGGTTGATAAACATTGCCGTTATGTGCAATTTTTTTTCTGTTTTGTTTATCTAATAAAGCACTTTTTTCATTCATTCATTCATTCATATAATTATACATAAACAACAAAACAACGAGTGTTCGGTCTTTGAGTGTATAAAAAAAGTTTTAAAATCAGAAATTTTTTCCATGTAGATCGTCTTGGTAAATCAGTAATTAGCGGAAATATAAAGACGGTTGATAAACATTGCCTTTATGGGCAATTTTTTTTCTGTTTTGTTTATCTAATAAAGTACTTTTTTCATTCATTCATTCATATAATTATACATAAACAACAAATCAACGAGTGTTCGGTCTTTGAGTGTATAAAAAAAAGTTTTAAAATCAGAAATTTTTTCCTGTAGATCAATTGACAACCTCTTATTAAGCAAAATTATTAACTCGTTTACTCAGTTTAAAAATAAAAATGATTCGCTAATGATTCAGCATTTCAGTTTGGCTTCACTGACGATGAGTCAGAACACTTAAGCGAGAGTGGATGCACCAAATCACCCCTGCTTTTGTCTACATCGATTCAATATAATGGAAAAAGTTCTTTTTATTTAAATATAAAAACAATAAAAGTGGAAGAACGCGTTTTCGGTTTTATAGAGCTTTCAACGTCTCGAGAAAAGCGGGCCTTTATCGGGTTTTAGGTCATCACTTCGACCGTTATGACCGAGAAAGAAAAGCTCGAGGGAAAACGGCCTCTCGATGCTAAGCATTTCCACACGAGCGGGCCTACTTCAAATCCCTTAATTGGGATACGGAAACCTTCTGCCAAAAGCAACACTTTGATTCCAATTTCAATTAAAATATTAATTTACCCTAAAGTTCTGTAAAGGTTTGCTAAAATGTACTTATCAAACGAACCACTGCCACGTAAAAGGTTTAAATTGGGTTGATTAATGTTTACATCATGAATAAAAGATGAGGTCTGATGTATTGTTCAAAAATCGTCTGATTCAGAAACAACAAAAATTATCCAATGCCACAGTCAACTGGAAAACTTCTTTAGAACTAAACTAAGCAGTTTTAGTCTTTAAACTTATTTCTTACCTTTAAACTTTAGAAGTGAACCTAATTATTTATTATGTAATAACAAGAAAAATAATGTAAAGATAGGATAGCGTGGACTATTTTTTGTCATATAATATGGAGAGCATAAAAAATTAAAAAAAAAAAATAAAATTAATTTCACTATTTTCGTGGTCCGCTTGACCAATTAATACTTTACAATTAAGGTTTTTAGTTGAGATGAAAAAAAGCTAATGGCACGAGAGGGATTCGAACCCACGACCTTCGGCTTGATACGCCGCTGCTCTACCACCTGAGCTATCGTGACCTCGACCTGGTAGAGCAGCGGCGTATCAAGCCGAAGGTCGTGGGTTCGAATCCCTCTCGTGACATTAGCTTTTTTTCATCTCAACTAAAAACCTTAATTAATAATAAAATTAATTTTGTAGTCGTTGCTGGATTCGGTCTGCAGGTCAGCATTGGATCTGGATTTCTGAATACGCACAAACCAGCGAGTGAAGATGGACCCAATGTCAGTTCAGCATGGTTTCATAATTTTTATTTCTAAATGATTACTTGTTTTGGTCTGACAAGAGCAAAATAATTCTGCCGAAATCAACTCGAATCTTGAAATTCGGGTAGTTTCTAAATTGTTAAATTTCCTGTTTTTGTGGCCTATGTTGTGATAAACTTATTGTTTGATAGTTGCCTGTCGTCTGCCAAAACATCACCTCGACAACTGACACTAAATGGACCACAATTTCGACAAATTAGGCATAAAAACAACCACAAAAAGCATAGAGAAAACCAAAAACACAATAGGAAAATTATTAAGACAAAACTTCGAAAAGAGGGGGCAACTACAAAAAACAAAATATACATACTAACAATATACATACTATGTGTGGGGACAAATACATGGAATAGGCAGGACGAAAATTAAAATAATACATCAAATCGTTCAGGGATGAAGACATAAAAGCGAATTTAGCGACCCACCTAACAGAAAATAACCTATGGACAATACAAACATGAAACTACTACACAACATACAAAAAAGGAACTGAAAAAGGTTTTATTTGCTTGAGAAAAAGTTTCAATTGTTTGAAAAAAGGTTTCAAAAATGTTTCCTTTGTTTGGAAAAAGTTTCAGTCGTTTGAAAAAAGGTTTCCTTTGCTTGGAAAAAATTTCAATTGTTTGAAAAAAAGGTTTCCTTTGTTAGGAAAAATTGTTTGAAAAAGTTTCATTTCCTTGAGAAAAACTTACAAATGTTTGAAAAAAGGTTTCATTTGCTTGGAAAAAATTTTCAATTGTTTGAAAAAAAGGTTTCCTTTGTTAGGAAAAATTGTTTGAAAAAAGTTTCATTTGCTTGAGAAAAAATATCAATTGTTTGAAAAAAGGTTTCCATTGTTAGGAAAAATTGTTTAAAAAAAGTTTCATTTGCTTGTGAAAAAGTTTCAATTGTTTGAAAAAAGGTTTCCTTTGTTAGGAAAAATTGTTTGAAAAAGTTTCATTTCCTTGAGAAAAACTTACAAATGTTTGAAAAAAGGTTTCATTTGCTTGGGAAAAATTTTCAATTGTTTGAAAAAAAAGGTCTCCTTTGTTAGGAAAAATTGTTTGAAAAAAGTTTCCTTTGCTTGGAAAAAAGTATCAGTTGTCTTAAAAAAGGTTTCATTTTCTTGGGAAAATTTTTAAATTGTTTGAAAAAAAGGTTTCCTTTGTTAGGAAAAATTTTTTGAAAAAAGTTTCAGTTGTTTGAAAAACGGTTTCCTTTACTTGGAAAAAGTATCAGTTGTTTGAAAAAACGTTTCATTTGCTTGAGAAAAAGTTTCAATTGTTTGAAAAAACGAATTCCTTTGTTACGAAAAATGTTTCATTTGCTTGGAAAAAGTTTCAATTGTTTGAAAAAAAGGTTTCCTTTGCTTGGGAAAAATTTTAAATTGTTTGAAAAAAGGTTTCCTTTACTTGGAAAAAAGTTTCAGTTGTTTGAAAAAAGGTTTCCTTTACTTGGAAAAAAGTTTCAGTTGTTTGAAAAAAGTTTCATTTGCTTGAGAAAAAGTTCCAATTGTTTGACAAAATGGTTTCCTTTGCTTGAAAAAAAGTTTGAATTGTTTGAAAAAAGTTTCATTTGCTTGAGAAAAAGTTCCAATTGTTTGACAAAATGGTTTCCTTTGCTTGAAAAAAAGTTATTGTTTGAAAAAAGTTTCAAAAATTTCCTTGGTTTGGAAAAAGTTTGAATTGTTTGAAAAAGGTTCATTTGTTTGAAAGAAGGTTTCCTTTCCTTGAAAATAAGTTTCCTTTGCTTGGAAAAAGTTACAATTGTTTGAAAAAGGTTTTTGTTTGCTTGGAAAAAGTTTTAATTTGCCTGGACAAAAGTTTCATTTGACTGGAAAATGCTGTATATAATACGTGTACAATTAATTATAAATGAAGTAAAAAGTTTTTTATGTATACGTAACCGTATAACCCTTTTTATACATTGTTGGGCTTTATTACATCCTGGGTATAGAGCTGTTTTGCCCTGGACATCAGAAGAACGTTATAACGAAGTTTGGTTGTCGCATTGGGCAGGAAGTTGGTGTAAATAATAAAATCAAATGTTGTTTATACGTTTTTATTTCTTTTTTTCAAAGCATGCCGTAAAGTGGTTTTTAATGAAAAATTAATTGCGCTTTTAATTAAATGAAATTTGTACAAGTAAGCTATTACAAATTTATACATGTAAAATTTAATTCTACAAACCCAACTTACATTTTTTAATATGTTGGTTAGGTCTAAATCATAAACCCATAATAAACAAAGGAAGATAACTTCGAATTGGTAACCGCCCAGTTCCATTTTTAGCCCGTCGACCGCGCACCTCGACATATGTTCCCATTCGTCGTTTATATTTTCCATGTTCGGCCTAAAAACGTATTTGATCAATTTAATACAATTCTCTTTCACATCGGCCAAAGATCCTTTGCAAAAGTTATTTTCGTCTCTTACGCCCAGCATGTATCCTACGACCCTCCATAAATGGACGAAACCAGCGAGACCTTCCTCATTATCGGGAACGCCGAATTTTTCCGGACAAGCGACCACCAAACCCATGAAACCGAAAAGCGTGAGCGACATCTCCGCCTGGTTAAAATAAACCGTGCGATGGTTGTATCTCCTTATCTCTTCCCCGCCCAACCCTTTTAAATCTTTGGCCACTTTTTCAAAAAGATGGCACTTGATATTCTCCCGGCCTATTGTGCTAGAAAGGGAGCATTTATTGTTTAATTCGGCGTCCGATAGGGAGTTGATCTTTTTGCTAACGCTTAAATGGTAGTTCCGCACTTTTTGGAGGTTTTTATTACCTTGACTATTCTTGTCCCACAGATCGGACTCGTACCACGAATTCACTATTAAAACCGTCGATAGATACCTCTCTTTGGCCGTATACAACGAGTCGGATTTTCGTGTGTAAACCAGAGGCTTGATGCTGTTTTTAAAAGAGAGCAATGTCAAAAGTCCAACGATCTGGGACATGCAGATCGGCATGAAAAATTTCTGCGAAAACTGTTGCCCACTTTTAAGAAGTTCTTCGTCGTACCATTCCGGTTTGTCGTCTGGGAGTTTTCTCTCTTGGTCTAATGCTTCGTGCCTTTGGCTATCGTTCGACAGCAGAAATGAACGCATTTCCTCTTTGGAACACTTCCATTTTTCACCAGTTTTCTCCTCAACTTCTTCATTCATGAGAAATCCCATCGGAAGCCAATCTGAAACATTGATTTGTCAATTAATTTAACTTTTTTATAGTAATTGACTTTTTAACCTTTTTATTTTCTTCCATTATTGTGTAGGTTTTTATTTAATAAGGCAAAATGTACCATCTGTGGAACCGTTACCTCCATCACATACTATGTCAAAATGATCCATATTTATTTAACCTCTCATTTTTATACTACTAGAAATTTTTCGTTCTTTCTTCTTTGGTTTATCAAACTTTTAAATAAAGCAAACAAATAATTAAATATAATCTGCAATTTTCGACGATTTTTAAAAATTATATGTTCTAGCGGGGTTGTCTAAAGCAAAAAAATGAAAAAATCGCATGAACTGGCAGGTTAAGAAAGAAATCGGTTTCTGGTCCATGGTGAACAAAAAGGGAAAAGGCCATAATGGCAAGACTAAGCATAGGTCATACAAGAATAACTCATGGGAACCTTCTGGCCTGAAAGCTACCGCAAGGTTTATGCTAGAATAAAATAACAGCCTAGAACATTTTAAATTTTAGCAGGCATGACGAGGCAATATTGTCAACTGTCTACTTCGTGACTTCGATCCACTCGGACACCAAGCCGAAGATCGTGGTTCGAATCCAGCTCATGACACTAACTTTTTTCATCGCGACCGAGACTTTACATAGAATAATTAATTGATTAAAAGAAGTAACTTGATCAACTGAGTAAGAAAACGTAAATGGAATTTTTTAACGTTTAGTTTTTATAAGTGAGAAAAATGGAGTTGAAATCAATAAAAGCTCAACAAAAATTTTTCTTCTGGTTAGACATATGCATTGGCCATACAGTATAACCTGTATGGGCACCTTCTGGCCTGAAAGAGACCGCGAGGTTTATGTAAGAATAAAAAACAACAGTCGAGAACATTTTAAATTTTAGTAGGCTTGAAGTTTATAGGCAATATTTCTACTTTTCTATTTTTACCTTCCATCCTGTGTTGACAAATTGACACGGGTGGCCAACGGTTTAAGCCGGGAACACACTTAGCCGATGCTACGCCATGCAACGCTACCAGATGCTACCCGACGCCTTGCCACGTTTTAGTAAGGTGTGCACATCTATCCGACGTCAAACGCACGCCACGTACAGTCACACAGCGTGTATCACAATCGCGACCCCTCTTTTGTTCTTAATGCATTATTTATAGCAAAGCCATGAAAAAAATTGTTGGTTAAATTTTATGAGCAAAACCATGTAATTAATTGTTAGTTAAATTTTATGAGCACAACCATATAATAAGTTGTTAGTTAAATTTTATGAGCAAAACCATGTAATAAATTGTTAGTTAAATTTTATGAGCACAACCATATAATAAATTGTTAGTTAAATTTAATAGTTTTAAATAAAGTTATTCCGGTGTTTTGATAAATTTTCTGCCTAACCATCATAATTAAATAATTTTTATAAAAACTCATGAATTTTTGATCTCGTTTAATTTTGATTATATTAAAATAGGAATGTTGTAATTAATATAACGACAAAATTACATATACATAGTTTGAAATAAACTACAAAAAATATGGTTGTGACGCTACTCGACGAAAATGGTGTTATTTTATGAGCAAAACCACGAAATAAATTGTCGGTTAAATTCACTAATTTCGCTTGACCAATTAATATAATACAATTAATTAAGGTTTTTAGTTGAGATAAAAAAGTCAATGGCACGAGCCGGATTCAAACCCACGATCTACGACGCCGCTGCTCTACCACTTGAGCTATCGTGACCTCGATCCACTCGGACATCAACTTCCTATCTCAACCCCACCTTTTGAGTTTTCCCTCCTTTTTGCCATTTTTCAAATGTCGTGTAATCGGATTGGATTCTCGGCGACAAAAGGAAGTTGGTGTCCGAGTGGATCGAGGTCACGATAGCTCAAGTGGTTAAAGCAGCGGCGTATCTAGCCGAAGATCGTGGGTTCGAATCCCGCTCGTGCCATTGACTTTTTTATCCCAACTAAAAACCATAATTAATTGTAATATATTAATTGGTAGGGATAAAGCGGATCGGCAATTTTAAAATTATCACCGTTTTTGTTGTTTTAAAAAAATTAAAGTGAACAACTCGAGAAAAAAATATGTTGTTTTTCCCAAAAATTTGTATTCAGGGGTAATTTGGGAGACACAAAAAAGACTATCAACATTGTTTTTTTACTAAAAAATGTATATTTAAATAGACTTTTTGGGCTGGATTAGGGCTAGTTGGGGGGCCTTTTTTAATTTATTGTCAGGAGTTTCACTTAAAAATTTATAACTCATTGGAATTTTATTCAAATACTTTTTAAAAGGATAGTTCCTACTCACAGTAAGTTGTTTTGCAACGATCCAGATTTAGAGCCTTNCACCACACTCACTCCATCATTTATCATTTCTATTTTATTCAAATTATACGTTATTCTAACTATTGGAAGCAGAATATTTTTATTTCATGTAATGTTACGTCTTTAGATTTTATGTCATTATAAGTGAGAAAAATGAGGATGAAATCAATAAACATTTATTTTTTATATCTTCTGTTCTTATTCATTTATGGAGTCCGCGTTCGTGCCATGACGTGAAGTTTATAGGGGTTCTAAATCCTTTAACGTATCGGTTGAGTTATTTCAAAGTTAACACGATTTTTGTGATTTTCGGAAAACGTAATTTTTGCCAGACGTTGAAATTTTATGTCGTCATAAATGTGAATAATAAAGATGAAATCAACAAAACCACTTCGAACGTTTCATTTTATATTTCCGGTTCTGATTGATTTACCAAGACGAAGTTTGTGCTGTTACGTGTAGCTTGTAAGGTTCGAAACTTCAGTCAAGTTGTCTGTAGATCGGTGGAGTCATTTCAAAGTTACCATAATTTTTGTAATCTTAGAAGAAAAAAAAATCGAAGTCTTCTCTAAATTGCAATTTGTTTTCCTATGCGTATAATTTGAAGTTATTATCGTATATCATTCGATTTTTTTTTTTTTGCTTAAGACAAGAAAATAAAGCAAAAATTCAAGTTCACCTGGATTTTTTAAGTCTTTTATTAAATATAGTTTTCTGCTTCATTATTTATATATTTGAAAGTTATTACAGGTTTTATGCAAGGTAAGAAAATAATTAGCTTCATTTTGGATTCGTTTTAAGCACCGTTCAAATCCCTTAAATGCGAATTTTCCTCACAATAAAAATATAGATATATTTTGGCCCGATCCATCGAAGGGGCAATTTTTTTCACAGACGTCCCGTGTTCCAATCAAAAATCCGTAACTTCTCAGGATTTTATCCAATTTGAGCATTACTACAACCGTTGGAAGCAGAATATTTCCTCTTTCTGGCTAGATTTTATGTTATTATCAGGGGAAAAAATAAGAATAACATGAACAAAAAACTCCTCTAACGTTTTAATTTATTTTTCCGGTTCTAATTAATTCACGGAGATTAAATTCACGCCTTTGGTGTAATTTATAATGGCTTAATCCCTGTAAAGTTTACTGTGGATCAGTGGATTCGTTTCAAAGTTATCGCAATTTTTGTAATATTAAAGAAAAATCGAATCCCTCAAATTCTGCAGTATTTCTTTTGCTTGTACTTGAAATCCATAGTTATTATAAATTATATATCAGGTGATTCGATTTTTTTTTACATAAGACAAGAAAATAAAAAACCGAAGTTCATCACCCGTTAGTTCAAGTGGACCTCAAACCTCAAAATATACATAAATATAAGTATTTTTTTAGCTACTTTCTCGGCAAGCCAAACACTTTGTTTGTTTTTGTAAGTCTGTTTTGTTATGGTTTTCTGCCTTTGCCATGCTTGAAATTCAAATTTATTACACCAATTATTATCAATTGATTGGATATTTTTGCAGTATAAGAAAATTATGAGCAGAATGGAATTAAATGAGATTATGTGTATAAAAATTTACAAAAATCAAAAAACATTTTTAGTAAAGTAGGCTGACAATTTTTTTTGAAAAACAATTCGGAATCCTTTTAAGCACTCTTTAAAGCTCTTCAATACGTATTTTCAAGGCAATAAAAAATATTTTTAGCTAGATCCGCGGGTGGGAAATTGTTTTTCGATATGAAAAAATTGAAAAATTCTCCGAATTTTATCCAAATTACAACCGTTGGAAGCAGAATATTTCCTGTTTCTGGCTAGATTTTATGTTATTATCAGGGGAAAAAAATAAGAATAACATGAACAAAAATCTCCCCTAATGTTTTAATTTATTTTCCGGTTCTAATTAATTCACGGAGACTAAATTCACGCCTTTGGTGTAAATTATAAAGGCCTAAATCCCTGTAAAGTTTACTGTGGATCAGTGGATTCTTCTTTTTAAAATTATTGCAATTTTTGGAAAATTAAAAAAATCGAATCCTTCAAATTCTGCAGTATTTCTTTTGCTTGTACTTGTAATCCATAGTAATTATAAATTATATATCGGTCGATTTGTTTTTGTACATAAGACAAGAAAATATCGATGCATGAAATTCAAGTTTATTACACCAATTATTACCAATTGATTTGGTTTTTTGTAATATGAGAAAATAATGAGCAGAATGAAATTAAATGAGATTATGTGTATAAATATTTACAAAAATCAAAAAACATTTTTAGTGAAGTAGGCTGACAATTTTTTTTTTTTTTTTTAACAATTCGGAGTCCTTTTAAGCACCCTTTAAAGCTCTTCAATACGTATTTTCAAGGCAATAAAAAATATTTTTAGCTAGATCCGTAAGTGGGGAAATCGTTTTCTCAATTAAAAAATTGAAAAATTCTCCGAATTTTATCCAAATTACAACCGTTGGAAGCAGAATATTTCCTCTTTCTGGCTAGATTTTATTAATAAAAAATAATAAAATAAATAAATACGGCCGTACGTCTGAAAACGTAGGGAATCTAAAATTCTTCTGACAAAAACTTTTTTTTTTTTTAAAGATAGTTCCTACTCACAGTAAGTTTTTTGCAACGATCCGGATTTCGAGCCTTTTAGCTCATCATCAGGTTGAAGGACTTCTACAACCTGATGATGAGCTAAAAGACTCGAATTCCGGATCGTTGCAAAAACACTTACTGTGAGTAGGAACTATCTTTTTAAAAAGGATTAATTCGAATTAATCCATAACCTCCTAACTTTAACAAACCACNTTTCGAGCCTTTTAGCTCATCATCAGGTTGAAGGACTTCTACAACCTGATGATGAGCTAAAAGGCTCGAAATC